CATGTGTGGTGTGTGAAGTATGATACTGAGTGTTGCGTGTGGGACATCCAGGGTGATCCAGAGTGCGAACAGTGAGTTGTGTGGGCGCCCAGTCGCCATAGCCAGTTGAAGAGAACTCATATCTGGTTACGATATCTTGAGTATTGTGTGGGCGCATGTCGCCAGTTGCTGTTTCGCTGTTTGCATACATGACAAGTTGAATAATCAGAAGTGTGATTTCAGATGCAATCATTAGACAATTAAGAAAAACATTGGAAGTAGAAGAGAGAAAGAGGGAGGCCTATTTGAAACAAAAAAAAGAAAACGACCAGCAAGAAAACAGGTTGAGGACATAAAACAAAAAATCAAGATTGGGTCAGAATCAGACTTGGCATCCTTGGTGGAGAACATGATGGTGTATATTGCACACCTTGAGACCAAAATTGACCATGTTACCATAGAGCTCAACATGATCGCATGAGTGGTCAAAGGAAAGAAAAAGGTGGTTAAAGAAGAAAAGGAAGAAGAAAAAACAGAACAAAAGGAGAAATTGATGACGGACACCATCAAAGCACGTGGTCCCAAAGAGGCTGAAACCTCAAAGAAACAAGAAGAAGGTGAGAAACCGAAGAAAAGAAAAAAGGTTAAAATGAAGCTACCCTTCATATACCACGGTAAGAAAGGAGAACACTTACTACTATGGATCGCCGAGATCCAGACGTACTGCTTGACCACGCCTGTCATGGAAGACAGTCAAGTGGCCTTTTCCACTGCTTGCCTTGGGGATGTTACCAAGGAGTGGGTATTGTCTGAGGCTAACATGGCGTATTGTCTTAGGTTAACGCGACTGGATTGAAAGACGTAGGTGATTGGGCTAAGACCATGATTATAAAAGAATTCTTTCAAAAGCTTAAGGAAAGGTTCCTCAATAAGACGACCACTGACAAGGCCTTCGATGATCTTACTACAACTGGACATCGACGATGGACTATTGTAGAAGCATTGTCTTGAGAATTTGACCATCTCTTGCAGGTACCTCGACTGAACCTGCAAAGCAACCAGGTACTATACGTTGTCTTGCGGGCATTCCCATTGCCAATCCGGGGTCAACTCACTGTTGAGGCCAAGTCTAATTAGTATAATTATCGCCAATTCAAGGAGCTTGCTCTACAACGTGAGCAAATGACAGCACAGGTCAAAGGTAAATACTCTCTAATTGTGAAGTGGAGACAGTCTAATGGCACCGGGAAAAAAATATTGTGGAGGCAGCAACTACACGACCACCTCCTTGTCGTTTTCGATGATGAGACAATTGATAGGTGGCCCCTGAAGGATGTCGAGGGCGAGACAAGTAACAACATTGAGTCTGGGAAGGGTGGCGTGGCTGTTGTAGTGGCTAACAAGGGGGGCACTAATTCTACCAGAGTTAAGAAGAGGAGGCCACGTTCCTTCCATGTCCATCATGTCATAGCCTCTGGAAAGCCCTGGGAGAAAATGGGTATTACCCATAAGGTATGACAGGATCGCATGAACGACAGGCATATCATGGTATGGTGCCCCTTGATTCAGAACCTAAAAGGGAGCAGCCAGTAGGAGTAACTCTGCTCCTAATGAGCTGGAGGGTTTGTATTAGTCGGGGCCACAAACCCCTTTCAACCTTCCAGCACCTATGGCAGAGGATGGCTCTTCTTCGGCCCCTCACCCAGTTCGCGTTGAGCGAGTCTTGTGTTCTTTTTAGACTGAGTGAGTCCCTTGATGAAGTTGGATGTGAACCGATTGCCTTACGAAGTTTATGGGCTAAGAAAACCAAGTCTAAGGGTGAATTGATGTTTGTGGCGTGGATGTTGGTGCTTTGCTAGATCCTAGCTCTACAAAATCCTACATGTCTAAGAAAGTCATTATAAATTGCACTTAGGCCTGGCGGTACAAGAGTTGCCCATACCTATCACATCTATGTTGGCTGACCAAAGCACTATAACTGTCTCACAACATATGGACCACATAAAAAGTTATTTCCGGACAAAGGAACGTAAGAAGATCTTGCGCAAAGTAACATTCCTAGTAGAGAAGAATCTACCATTTGACTTAATGTCGGAATGGACCGGCACGAGGAAGCCGACCCAAAAGTTAAGTTCAACGACAAAATCCTACCCCTTGACCCAAAAGTTAAGTTCAACGACAAATCCTACCCCTTAACGCGTATCAGTCGCAGGGGGTAAGGGGATGGCGAGCTGCGCACGGGTGAAAAATTGTGTATGAGGCGTTCGATGTGAAGGATCTGCGGCGAGGGGCTGGCACCAAGTATTTTTTACCGAACTGTTAAAGGGCGAGAGTGAATGTGGTGAGGGCGCAACCGTGGATAATGGTAGATTAATGCAACTATCTGCGCAGCGGAGCTGTGGCGGACCCACCAAGTGTGGTGCTCCGCCTGGGATACAGATGGAGATGGAGGATGAGAGTGGAGCAAGATGGCACAATGCAACTTCCACGCGAGACTCCAACGCACGTACTCCAAACTGTGTGAATGCAGAATGATCCAAAATACAGACTCTGGTTGGGGTATACCCCAGCGGACTGACTGGACTGGACTGGACTGGCGGGTACCGACAGAGGTACCGGCCTGGACTGGACTACCCCGAATACAACACAGGCCTGTGAGAACAGGCCAAGGGCCTGGTCTCACAGGCCAACCAGAGGTCTGCTACACGATCCTCGGCCTGTGATGGATCGCCTAGATACAAGCACGCTTCCGCCAAGAAGCGAAACTCTACCAAAGAAAAAAGAAATCCCGAGTAGTCTAGGATGTGGAGCAAGCTCCATGTTGAGTCCATGCGATGCAACCTAAGCTAGAAAATGTAGCAAAAACAACAATGTCACAACTAACAGCCTAAGTGAAAGCAGAAGCAACTAACTAGTATACATGTCCTAGGAAAGCAGAAAGTAATGACAACTAAATCCTAGAATGTTGGAGGCAGTAGCCTCAGTCTGGAAACAACTGACTAGTGTATAAGTCCTAAGAACAACAAAAGCAGAAACAACTAAATCCTAGAAATGTCAGAGGCAGTAGCCTCAGTCTGAGAGCAACAAAGCAACAACAAGACAACCATATATCACAAGAGAAGTGTGTCACAAACCACAGGGTGGGATGGTCTCTGAGGGTGGCGATAAACTCCTAAGGGCATCCACACATAATGACAGGGATACACATGTCATCAGGCTCAATGAGGGTAGGGAACTGGGAGCGAACAAAACCAATGACCCTAACAGATAGACCATCAGGGCAGGTAATGCTCGACTAAAGGGGCGACCGCTATGGAGGCTCGACCATGCAAGGGAATAAGGGAGCCTTGTATATTGGGTGCACCTAGATGAAGCATGCAAGGCTGCCTAACTAGGGCGTGAGGGCCAGCAGAGGGTAGAAAAAGTGATGGGTAAGGGAATCATGCAAATGACTCCTAAGGTGGGGGAAGTTGGAGCTGGATCCGTAAGTTGTGAAGCCAGGGCAACGCTACGGTCCCGATGCCTATGCGTATACCAAGGGAGAGCCCAACTCAGAGGAACCCGGCGAAGGGAGACCATCATGCGACACAACCAGGGTACTGTACAGGGTAAGGTGGTAAGAGAGTGACGACGTCTGAAGTAGGTAGAGCTGATCGTGATGAAGGTCGTGAAGCTACTGACGACGTCCATGATGAGAAGTCCGGAATGTCATTGAGGAAGAGCCACAACGTCGACGAGCTGAAGTGGCAAAACTGGAGTGGATGGAGTACTGAGAAGTCAAAGACGTGGGAAGATAAGTCATAGTCAATCGTCGTATCGAGCAGGGTGACGACGGTTGTGGACGCTCAGAAGCATCCGACTGTTGCTGAAGGTCTGGCTCAGATGGAGAAGGCTCGACTTCAGCTGTCTCCTCAGTCGCGGGAGCAGGAGGAGGGTCAGTGGGCTGAGGAGGAGCAGTCAACCCTACACGACGAGCACGGTCGTAGGCATGCACCAACATGCCAACTTGTTGCAAGTGCTCGAGGGACTCCCAAGTAGCCTCCTCATCAGGGGTAACCCTTCCAACGTACAAGATACTCGACATGGGAAGGGTTGTCGCCGGTGTCTCGGCGACCAATGATGTCTGAAACAAGGAACTCCTCGTGGCCGTTCACCATGATGGGTGGAGGGCGCTCATATGGTCATCCAACGAAATGCTCAGACGGTCTGCGGTAGGGACGCAGTAACGAGACGTGGTAGACATCGTGCACACGAGCTTGGCGTAGGTAGTTGGGCACCTTCACACGGAGGTTGATCGGGCCAGATGTCGTATAAGAACCGACGGCCTGGAGAATGCGGCATGGGCCAAAGAAGCGACGCTGAAACTTGCGAAGCATGTCCGCTTCGAGTTGTAAGTGGCGGGCGTCGATAAGCACATCATCACCGACTTTGAATGGGTGATCCATCCGCGATTGGTTCACACATGCGGCCATGCGAGTCTGGGAAGCGACTATGTGCTCATGCGCGGTCTTCATGATCGATGTCATGTGTGCAACCCAATCATCCAGCGCGGGACAACTCGTGTCGGGGTGCATCTGTGACGGTCGAAGGAAGTCCGCGGGAACACGAGGGTGATAGCCGAGGTCGCAGTAGTAAGGCAACATCCCCGTGGCTGGCGTGACCTCGTGGTTGTAGGCTATCTCCGCGTGCGCAAGCTGGAGATCCCACTGCTGGTCGTCACAAACAATCTTTCGGAGAATATCTCCGAGAGTCCTGTTCGTGACCTTAGTCTGACCATCAGTCTGGGGATGGTAAGACGAGGAGAAGTGGAGTTGGGTGTCGTACACCTCATGGAGCCGTCGCCAGAATCGGCTGGTAAAGCGCGGGTCACGGTCAAATATGATGCTCAGAGGTAAGTCGTGGTCACGCACGACTCGGTCAAACACGATGTCGATGACCTCACGTGCACTGATGGCATAGCGGCACGGAAAAACGCGTGCTCGCTTCGTGAAGCGGTCGACGACGACCAAGATAGCATCATGACCGCAGGGGGCTGGAGGACGAAGAGGACCGATAAAGTCCATCGAGATGGACTGCCAACGACCCTCAGGGATAGGAAGAGGCTGGAGCAAACCATAAGGCAGGTGGTTCACACTGTTCACCTCATGACAGGTGGGACACTCTGCGACATAGTCCTTCACAAAGTCCTTGCGCTTCGGCCAGACGTACAGGCGGCTCACACGAGCCAACGTCTTGTGGAAGCCCATGTGACCAGCGGCTGCTTGGTCATGGAACTCTGCTACTGCCCGGACACGTTGTTGTCTAGTGGAGGGAACGCAAATACAGGGCTCTCTGGTGCCCTGTGAACCGTGCCAGTACACAAGACCGTTGTCCCCGAGAGAGTAGTTCGGGACAGTCTTGCCACTTCGAAGGGTCGCATGGATGTCGCGATAGTCGGGGCAGTGGCGGTATTGAGTGCGAAACTCGTCGATCACCGAGTGGTGGACGGTGGTGACCGAGATGGCAGCGAGCTGTGTCTGCTCCACATCATGGTCAGGGCGTCGGGATAATGCATTTGCGACCCGAAGTCTCACCCTTGATGTGCTCAGTGGTGAAACTAAACTCGGATAGGTCGCGCCACCAGCGAGCTTGTCGAGGAGTGAGCTTCGGCTTTGTCAGAAAAACCTGGACATGCTCACAGTGAATGGTGCCCCGTGCAGGTAGTGACGCCAGTGGCGAGCAGCATAAACTACTGCGAGAACCTCACGTTCATCAAGAGTGTAGTTTATCTCGGCGGGCAGGAGCTGACGGAAGTAGAAGGCTACCGGACAATCACCTGAGCGAGACTCGACAGTGTTGTCCTCGGCGATGGTAGGGGAATAGTCAATAGAAGGCTCGTGAGTAGCTGGACGAGTAGGTGTCAGGCAGGAAGCAGTGGTAGGGGTAGGAGGTGGGAAGCGAGGGATGCGAGGATGAGAGGAATCAGGAGAGGAGGGGAAAATCTAAGAAAGCACTGCTCCTACAACGAAGTCTAACGCATCAGTGGTAAGGATAAAAGGGCGATTAAAATCGGGTAGGTGAAGAATCGGTGCACATGTTACCGCCTTCTTGAGGGCGAGGAAGGCGTCCTCGTGGAGGGGTGTCCAAGCCCATAGCGGGTTCTTCCAGAGGAGGGTGGAGGTAAGGACGTAGGAATACCTACCGTATCCCTGGATAAAATTACTATAGTAGTTAGTGAGGCCTAGGAAGCTGCGAAGCTGCTTGGCGGATGTTGGGGCGGGCCACTCCGCAATAGCAGTGATCTTCACATCGTCCATGTGGAGACCCTGGTCAGACACGTAGTGTCCTCAAAAATTCACTTTGTGTTGGGCAAAGCGACACTTGCACAGCTTGGCATAGAGACCATGTCTGTGCAAGCGGTCAAGGACGTCGCGGAGGTGTCTGAGATGCTCCTCAAGGGTGCGACTGTAGATCAGGATATCGTCGAGGTAGATGAGAACGCACTGCTCCAGAATGTACCTGAGGATGCCGTTCATCGCCCTCTGGAAGGTAGTGGGTGCGTTGGTGAGGCCCAATGTCATCACCGTAAACTCATAGTGGCCAAAGCGCGATCAGAACGTTGTCTTCGGCTGGTCTGCTGCAGCGACGCGGATCTGATGGTAACCGCTACGAAGATCAATCTTCGTAAAGAAGCGGTTGCCTGCTAGACAGTCGAACAGCTCGTTGGAACGAGGCATGGGGTAGTTGTTCTTAACCGTGTAGCGGTTGAGAGATCGATAGTCGGTGCAGAGACGAAGAGTTCCATCCGCTTTGCGAGCAAAGAGGATGGGTGCACCCCATGGGGAGTTGCTGGGTTTAATGAAACCCAGTCTCAGGAGCTCCTCAAGTTGACGCTTGAGTTCAATGGCCTCGGGGATCGAGAGTCTGTAGGGTGCCTGGTGGTGAACACGATAGTCAGGCACAAGCTCGATGGAGTGCTCGACGTCGCGCATCGGTGGGATACCGGCGTACGAGAACGACGATGGGAAAATATCGTGGTACTCTCGATGAGGTCACGAACTGCGGGCTCCAGGTCAGCCGTATAGCGTGCAAGTTCCTCAGCGTCAACGTCAGCACGCGACGGCGGGGTGGACTCGACGGACGGCAGAGGGAGGGAAGTAGAGATGAAAGTCATGAAGATAGAAGGAGGATCTGGCTCCAGAGAGATGAGCTCGGCGTCTGGACAGGGTGGATCATAGTGCAAGAGATCCGTAACATTCACCGTAAAGAAGGTGACGTCGTCTTGTCGAATGAAGTGGGGGAACTGCCGAGACGAGGTGACGGTGATAGTAGGAAATGGTGTGGGCACGAAAGGCTGCGGGGGAGAGGATCGGGGCGTGGTATCGCAGTTGTACCTATAAAAGATACACAATACATTTGTCCACACTTCGTTCTGAGAACGAGAGTGTTGGTCACCCAATCGGCCTCGGTGCTTCGGAACCGACGAGACCACGGAGTACCAAGAATGAAATCGTACCCTGTCTCTATCACATCGAAGTGTGCAGAGGAGTGGTGGCGACGAGACGCTGGGGGACAATCAGTCGGTTTGAGAGTGAGGAAGAAAGGGAGGTCGGTGACCGTCTGATCGACGAAGCGCTGAGTCTTGTCATCTCCTAGGGTAACGGAGATGGGAGTCGGAGACCTTGTCGTGGGTAAGCGGGCTTCTTTCACCACACGTGGGTGAATGAAGTCGCCCTGAGAACCGGAATCCCACAACGTTGAGTACACCCTCGTGGAGGTCCCTAGTCGTATTGGAATGATCGGGAGGGTGCGATCACGGTCAGAGAGGATGGCGAGAAGGCGAGAAGGCGACACAGTGCAGCGACATGGAGGGTGAGTCGCTCCTGACGAGCCTAGAGCATGCTCAAGTCTAGAAGGGAGAACACAACGTCCTCACGAGTCGCAAGCTGCTTGCTGCAACGGGCTGAGTGAATGGCTCGACGAGTTGGTCTTCGTGGAGAGGTAGGAGGGGAGACGGTGGTTTGCGGAGGCGCAGACGGTACTGCGACAGAAGGCTGAGTACACTCTATCGGGTCCTGCGATACCTCAACTCCAGTAGCGAGAGGGGCAAACCGCGACGGAGATGTCGGGAAGCCGACTACTGAGGAGGGCGCAGGTGTACACTGCATCGTGGCTAGGAGGCACCGTGAGGATGCGAGGCGCCAGGGGGAGACTGAGAACGACGCTGGCGAGAGAGCTCAACGTAGTGGCGGTCGAGGGCGGTGGTGTAAGGGCACCGCGAGGAGGTATGGCCGTCCTGGCGGCAGTGCAAACACCCACGCCGACCCAAAATGGTCACGCGCTCCTTAGCAGAAAGGACACTGCGAGGAGGGACAAAGCCCTGAGGGAGGTCTCGCTCAGGGACCTCGGGGGGCGACGCGCCAGCGTGACCAGAGCGGTTGCGTGTCCGGGAGAGGGTGGAGAGGGCGAGCTGGAGGCGCTCGACTAAAGGGAGGGTAGAGTCCTCCAGGTGGTAGTGGACGGCCTCGCAGAGGTCGAGGTTGTCGTCATGGTCACCCTTAGGTGACAGCGGGGCAACAACGTCCTGCTCACCATACTCGAGCGCGTTGAAGCGGCGTGAGAAGTGACGGCCCTGCTATGCGGAACGACGGGGACAACCATGGAAAGGGGAACGGCGCTGGGAGGTGTCGTGAGAGGAGGAGGCAACGTAACTAGTACGCTGAGGCAGGGAGGAGGAAGTGGGTTGAAGACGGGCCCGCATCCGCTGATGGGCCCTGGCGGCCTCGTAAGCCTGCAGGGCCGATGTGAAGTCATACCGCCATAACTCGGAGTGGTACTCAAGGGGGAGGTTGGCCAAGAAACGATCGGTGAGGGCAGCCTCGAGGAGGAACGCCACATCACAAATGAGGCGGGTGTCCTGAAAGACCACGATGTGGCGGTCCAGGCCGGCAGCGCCACCAGAGTCGGACCAACATGTACTGCCAACGTGCTCGAAGGCGTCAATCACGTCATATCAGGCTCCGAAGTGATCCTCGAGGAACGCCTGAAAATCCATGAAGGTCGGGGTCCGACCCTCACAAAGAGAGTGGGTGTAGAAATCCTCCCAAACATCAAAAGGACCGCCACGCAGGCGAGTGGAGAGGTGAGCCAGCCACATGTCGGGTGGGACGCCCATGAGCTTGCCACCCACGGAGACACACGTATCCCTGTACCGTCATAGAAGGCAATGTCCATCAAGCGGACGAGTGGTGTGCCACCGTTTTGGCGGTGAGGAGATCGAGGAGCAGAGGCCTGCGCTACGGCCGAGTAAGTCGGCGCAGGTCCTGGAGAAGGGGGCGCAATTGACTGTACGCCCGGGCCGCATGGTGGAGCATCGGGGGCAACAATGGCAGGCTGCGAGGGAGCTGCGGTAGAAGAGGTCGCAGCAGCCGAGGGAGTAGGAAGGAGGTAGGATGGGGGTGGAGGGGGTGCAGGGCGGGGGAACCGAGCCTGCATGGATGGAAGAGTAGAGGAAGAAGGGGGTGCGCCCGAAGGCGCGGCCACTTGTGAGGGTACGGGTGGTTGAAGGAATAAGAGGGCGAGGTCGGCCCAGGTCTGGGCAAGCTCGTCCTCGAGACGTCGAACGTAGATCGAGCGAGGAGTGTCAAGAGGAAAAGTGGGGGAAGTGGCCGCACGAGCGGCGCAGGGCATCCTGCAGGGGGGAGAGTCAGGTGGCACTGCGGTCGTGCGAAGGGGAGGGAGAAGCGGGGCACCCGGAAAATATGAGACCGCGACAGAGGGTTGTGGTCCAGTGGCTGTAGTGACCGAAGTCTGGGCGGGTGCGCCCGTAGAGTGAGGGAAGGCCTGGCCCATGGCGACCGTCGCGCTAGGAGCGTGGACGGTCACCAGAATGGCTAGGTCGGGGGCAGCGGAGGAGGAAGCTCCGTTGTGACCACCATGTCGGAGGACGGGGGCCCCGGACTGGGAGCCAGGGGAAGAGAGAGAGTGGGGAGAGGAAGGACAGCCAGCGTCGTGGAGTTGTCGCACGCCAGCGGCAAGAGTCGCCACCTGTGCCTGTAAGGGCGCAAGGAAGGAGGTGAGGAGGGTGTGCAGATCCCCCTAGGGCTGATGGCCCTGGTCCGCCGGCACGGGTATGGAGCCCGGTGCTGAGGGCGTTGTCGCGTCGGCGGCTTGTGACACGCCGTCGGCCATAGGGAGATGACGGGCCGGATTGGAGGGGGCCAGAGGAGGTCCGCATGAGCGGATGGCGTAGGGGGGGGTCCGCGGTAGAAAGCGACAAGCGGCGCTAGTGAGTCGAGCGTGGGCGCCCGCAAAAAAGGAAGGGTGGCTCGGGTCCAGGGTGCCCGAATGGAAAGGGGAAGTAGGAGGGTTAGGAAAACCCTAAACCCTAGAAAAACCCTAAGAAAACCCTAACCGGAGTTTGAGTGGTTAGGGTAGGGTACCGGTGACCTAATCAAGAAAATAAAATAGCAAGCATGGGGGAGAGGCAGAAGGAAAAACAAATAAACAGTGAAATTTTGAGAAAAAAATAAAAATAAATAAATAAATAATAAAAATAATTAAAGAAATAAGAAAACAAAATGTGAAGAGAGAAATAATATTTATTTTTTTGGAATTTTCGGCACCATTTCCCTACCCCACATGGGGTCAAGAATGTGCCAAGGGAAAGGAGAGACTAAGATGAACACACTAAGTTTCAAAATGCCGCAAATTAAAATTTCAAAAAATAATAAAAAAATAATAAATAATAAATAAATAAATAAATAAGTAGATGAGGAGGTGAAGAGAAATTAAGTGTTGGATTTTTCAAAAATTTCAGCAGCATTTCGTTATCCCCATGGGGTCGAAGTGTGCCGTCAAGAAGAAAGGCTAAGTAAAATGAGAAAATTTCGGCAACACTTCGTTACCCCACGGGGTCAAAATGTGTGCCGAAAGCAAGAATGACTAACTCCTAATCAGATTTAAGGGTGCCGCAAAGAAATTCCAATTTTCAGAATAAATAAAAATAAAATGAAATAAATCAGAAAATGAGAAAAGAAGGTGGGGAATAAGATAATTCGAATTTTTGAAAAACAGAGGAAATATAAATCAAAAGAAAGATAAAAAGAAGAAAAACAGAAAAATTTCGAAG